AAAAAAAAAAAAGATAGACTGTTACTGTTAATCTTACTGTTACTCGCAGCAATTATGTAACTAAACTATTTTTCTCAGGCAAGATGATATATATATATGAAAAAGAGAATAAAGTTTTACAAAAAAAAAAAAACATTCATGATGTACTCGGAATCCCTTCATCAAAGCAAACCTTTGCATTTGCAAATCCCTTTCTTTCTCTAAAATACAGTATAGAAATACTTGCGAGCCTTTTGCATAAAGGAGCAGCATTAAAGTAAACTCACATTTTGTAGCCGTACTAAAAACACTCCTGTGAGAAATGCAGTCATGAATTCAAGAGCGTATAGTGCAGATCAGTGAACTCGCCGAGCCAACCCTGCTGCCCTTGCTCGAAGGAATACAGTGGAATAATAGAGTATTGTGGAAAGTTGGATCTGAGATGGTCTTTGCTGGATGGATATTGCTGATATCTCCAGGGTGACTGAACACGAACAAATAAACCCTGTAATGCTCTCCAAGTGAATCTGTTTGGGAAGCGTTCCTAGATAGAAGCGTTTTTTCCGTGACTTGGCGTAAGGTTGGTTAGAAGTGCGTCTGCGTCAGTGGTCTGTCGTCTCGCTCTGTGTTTGACCGCATCTCTCCATCAGCACTTGGCTGTCATGGGCAGAAACAGAATGGCCTTCTGGCCCGGGCCGGTCTTCGAACCCGCTTTATACTGGCCTGTTCTCTTCAGAGCCACGTACCAGTCGGGATACTTGCGGGATCGGTACGTGTTGTAGTTGTTTGACTCCAGGCGCTCGAGGAAATAACATTCATCTGTTGTTCTTCTCTGAGAGAGAGAGAGAGAGAGAGAATGACAACATTAACACACATCACTGTAGCATACACTGCAAACAAACGATTTTCTTCCTTAGTATTTTTGTCTTGTAGATATCTAGAAATTCTTGAATCAGGATGCATTTACTGATGCATGACATGTAAAATGACTTAAGATATTATGTCTTGTTTTCTGAAAACATTATCCAAATTTTGTTAGTTTTTACTTAAAACGAGTACAATATCTGCCAGTGGGGTAAGAAAAATAATCTTAATTCGAAGGCTAAACAAGATTATTTTTCTTACCCCATTGGCAGATATTTTACTTGTTTTAAGCAAAAACTAACCAAATTTGGATAATGTTTTCCGAAAACAAGACATAATATCTTAAGTAGTGCTGTCAAACGATTAATCACGATTAATCGCATACAAAATAAAAGTTTTGGTTTGCATAATATATGCATGTGTTCTGTGTATATATATTATGAATATATAAATACACACACATACAGTATATATTTTGAAAATATTTACGTGTCTATATTTATATTTATATTCATATAATTTATATTAGAAATAAATATATTTAATATATAAACA